ACACTTTATAACTGTGCTAATTGACAGTACCTGCTACAGTAAAATTCGTGGAAATATTGTCAGTTTTCCAATTTCACTGGAAGTTGCCAGTTAACAAGATCTGTTTACAACACATGGTTTCTTTCTACAGAAATTAGGGTGTTAAGAGATTTACAGGGGATCAAAAATTCTTCTCCTAGAGGAAGCTGCATCCCAAACACATGAAGTAAATGCAGCAGGAAGTAGGCAGGGACAAGTGTACTCCTTAAAGCTCTGGGACAAATTCATCCAGCAATCTCCCTGTGGCCATTTCCAGCTAGCTACAAGTGCTTTTCCATGGGATGCAGATAGTGAACTTACCCTGATACCCTAAAAACCTCCACAGCAATGGAGTTTTACCACAGAGGACTCACACTATTGAGTATTATCTTAAATGTAATGCAATGGGTAGATTAATTAATTCAGTTTCAGTATTTTAGCTGTAATCTGACATTCAGTACTGTCGTGTGAGGCAATGCCACCCCAGGCACAGCTGCACCTCCATAGCCTTACACGTTGCTGCAGGATGCTGTGGGGACTTGGAGGGGACAGCCCCAGGAGGAGCCCTTCCTTGCAGAATCACATGCGCGGCAAATATTTTTATTGGGGGAAGCATGAAGGTATTCCTCAGGGCTGGACTTCAGAAATAGGCTGCAGTTTGCTCAGTTAAGCCACTTAACTCTGCCGCTGAACCAGGGCATCTAAAAGATGTCCATAATTCGGGGGGCAAAGGCAGTTGCCTGGGAAGATCTCCACAGAGCTGCGAGCTTAAATCAGTCCAGATCCACCCCAAACTAAAAATGAAAAAATAGAGTTAGCTTCCAAGCATTCAGCTGGGAACGTGACACTGAGTCCTTTAAAGAAATACTACTGGAGATGACAAAATATTGATAAACTACGTGTAGCCTGCATAGCAAAAGAAAGCCCAGAGTAAGGTCAAATTTAGGTGGCCTGTCTGGAGAAGGGATGGGAGCCAAAGCAGCCTTGAATGTTGGGATGGGGTCTGGGGGAAAACATGATAATATGTTTTAGGGGCAGTGGAAGTTAATCCTTTCATTAGGATCAGGTCAGGAGCCTGGCCAGGTGAATTTTCTTTTTTTATTCTCTTAGCACTCTAAGATCCTCTGTGCTCTGCACTAGCCAAAATGACTTGCTCCTGGATGTACCGCTCAAACACAGTTCTTTATTTATCCACTTTATCTTCTTTTACTGATATAATTTTGAAGCATGGCTGACCTTGTCTACGCCCCTGCTTTGCCCTGTGAAATCTCTTTATTCAGTCCTTGTCACTCGTTTTCCACTCCTGATCTGCCCCACATCAGAACTGTAGTTTGGTGCAAGATAATCCCCTGTGCTGGATTAAAGAACATCCCAAGCAATGCTTTGACAAAGGGGAGACAAATTTTCTACCATTATAGAACACAGGAAAAGAAATGTGCCACAAGAATTGGATGTTTAAGCAAGTACCAGTAAGTCAAAATTACATCCAGATGTAAAGGCTGGCTCCAAACTACTTAATAGTAATTTATTAAAATGACAGCTACTACAGTGCAAAACATGAAAAAATACTCTATTCTCTAATTATGGCTGTAGTCTGCCCTGACTCTGTGCCTGTACCAAGGGTAAAAAAATGCACTTAGTATTTTGAAAAATTCTGCAAGGCAAAGGCAGGTCTGTAAATCAACAGTAACACTGAACCCCTTGCAAAGCATGTCGAGAGAAAAGTTGACCAAGACCTTAAGCCTCTTGGAACAAGAACAACATCCTCAACTCTGGGAGCCCCCGAGCCTTTCATGGCTCTTTTCCAGGTCAGAGGGAGGTGAAGCACTCCTAATAGGCTACGTGGGAGCAGTGCAGTGCACACCCATCAGAGAGGGTGGGGAAGGGGTATGAGACTCAGCTGGAGCACTGCTACTCTGACTTCACGGGGTGGTCCTACAGCTTCACAGCCAGAGCTAGTTTTAACTCCCCTGGCAAATACCCAGAGGGTGAGGTTTTTTGTAACGCCTTGAGCTTTGGGCCAACTGCAAAGCAGCAAACCCATGAACCTGCACCTCTGAGGCTAGTAGCACCTCTGTTTGAATGAATACCTCAATTTTAACAGTGCTTGAAGCACAAGCGCCTAATGACACAAGGTTGATGCTCCTGTACTGACCAAGAGCTGTTGCAATTTGTTGGATTGTAAAACATAGTGTATAAGTGTGATTTCAAGAAAGAGGAAAATACTTTCAGTGCATGACTAATTGCCTTCTTAAGTAAAAGCAATGACGATACTTACAATTCCAAGTCCTCAAGTCTTTTTCTTTTACAGAAAAGTAGAGAGGCAGACAGAGTTGTCAAAATAAACATTCTTAAATCAAAGGAACCCTTCTTCACTTTGCCCTGAGGATGCTCCCAATGAGATGACTTCTTAGGCTATGCTATTCCTAGTAGTGTGTGGCACTACAAGATATTCCCTTTTCTGACCTATTTTGCCCATTTTGATTCTTTCAGAGTTGCCTTGCAATTACTACATCACATTTAACTGGGTATGTTTAGGGTATGTCTGCACAGCATCATTCTGTGCCACGTGGGGATGCATGAGCTGGCAACAAGCGCACTGGCTCCGAAATCAGAAACACTGGAAATATAGTACAACATTTCACCAAATTAACATACTACTGCTATGAGAAGTGAGTGACTACCAAGGTGCTTGACATGGTGCCACGCAGATCCGTATTTCTATACTGATGTAAGCTGTATTTTGCACATTACACCTCCAACATCCAGTTGATACTTTCCTACTGTTAATACACTTTCTATCCCTGATTGTGCATTTTAATCAAAGGTTTTCAGGTTATTTCAAGCTGGAAGGGACCTCAGGATGTCTCAGTGGCTGCTGCTGAAGTTTTTCTGTTGTGTCTTCTACCAAAGGGCCTAAAACTTGGATGCTGTATTCTAGACGGGTCCTAATAAGTGCTGAGTAAAGGGGGATAATAATTTCCCCTCAATCTACTGGCTATGCTCCTGTTAATATAGCCCAAATTACTTCACCCAAATAATTATTAAGTAAAGAAAATAAACCTCCCTTAAACTACAAATAACCAATGTTTTTTAGCCTGTTTTTATTACTGATGACAGAGTATGTAATTTTCAGCTTATATTTTCTACTACATTTTTGGAACAGAATTCACGTAGAAAGGGTAATTTCTTCACTGTTTTGTCACTGTCTACAGCAAATGTCATCTTTTGGTTCACTGCTGTTCTTCTAAACTTAGGATTTGGGTGCTCTTTGGGTTCACTGATATTCAATGCAGTTATTATTTGAATAAATTTGCTTGTCACTTCCATAGCAGAATGTAATTTTCATTTACTATTGGAGGTGTTCAACAGAGGTTCAACAGTGGCTACCTATGTAGTTGCTTGGGGAGAAAGAAAAGTAACTCAGGAACATGTTGGAGGGTAGGAGGCAAAGCATGATCTTGAACCTAGGTCTGTTGTCCTCAGTAGAATACTCCAGTCACAGAACTTTTGGTTGCTCGGGCATTTTCTCTTTCTCTTCCTCTCCTCT